TTATCTGAAGATAAAGGAAATATTGAAAGGAAGACATTTTGATGACATTCAGGACATCAAGGGTAATACGACGACAGCTCTGATGGCCATTCCAGAAAAGAGAGTTCCAAAATTGCCTTGAAGGGTGGACTACGCACTGGCATTGGTGCATAGTTTCCCAAGGGGAGTGCTTAGAAGGTGACTGTAGTGATGATATTCAGCAGTGAGGTATGTAGCACTTTTTCTAGGATGAGTGTGTGAACTTAATTGTCTGACTTGTATTCTGCTGCTTTGGAGTGAAATGCTCTAAAAATATCAATTAAATCCATATGGTATAGTGTGTCATTTGAGGTCGCTGTTTCCATGTTGATTTTCTGTCTGGAGGATCTGTCCATTGGTGTCAGTGGGGTGTTAAAAGTCCCCTACCATGATTGTGTTACTGTTGATCTCTGCGTTTATGTCTGTCAATATATGTTTTATATACCGGGGGTGCCAAAAAAAATGTATAGAAGTGGAGATTTTGGTCAAGTTACTCGAACAGTAGTTTGCTGTAATCAGAAGTGTCTGGATGCTGATGGTAACCACTTTAAGTACCTCTTTTGTTGCAGAAGTCAAATGTGACTTGTATTCATCTTCTGTTATTGGTATATTTTGAGTATTACAATTTTAATAATTTTTTCCTTTCTTAAAATGTGTATACATTTTTTTTGGCACCCTCTGTATTTAGGAGCTCCTATGTTGGGTGCACAGATGTTTACTACGGTTATGTCCTCTTGTTGGATTGATCGTATGCTCATTTTTATGCCCCAATTAAAGTCCTTAACAAGGAGGATGGATGGTCTAGAAATCTGGCTAAGAAGCAACCATGGGTTCCAGAAAAGGCCCCAGCCCCACAGGGAGCCTGGAAGAAGGGCTTGATCACAGGGCACCTGCCTGTCATCACAGCTCTCCCCTTGATCTGGGGCCCAATCCTCTCCATGTCCTCTACATGCCAGGTACCACCAGTAAGAGAGGGTGAGGGAGGAGGGGAAACCCCAGCAATATGCCCCTAGTCAGGATAGTATACCCCAACTTCAAACTCAACAACTTTTTTTTTTTTAGCTGAGCCATCCTGACACCGATTGGCAGCTCAGCTTGGGCTGGGCATCGAACCGCTGTTGCTCAGAGCTCACACTCTTGAGCGAGCTCTTAACCAACTGAGCCACTCGGCCGGCTCTCACCAACTCTTTTGAGAAACCAGAAAGGCTTACCTTTGAATGCTACCTCCCAGCGACCTTCTAAGGAGCGGTTCCGGCCAGTGATGACATACTGGTAGCCAACCCACAACCTGCAGGAGGGCAGAAATGCAGGGAACCTCAGCACAGTGGCAGAGAAGCAGCCACTGATTGTGCGTGGTGTATTTTAATAGTTACACTGACCATTAAAGTATGAACTTCTAAAGCACTAACGATTTTTTTAAAGTTTCGATACTTAATTTTAATAAAATGCATTAAATTCTAAACAACAAATTCACAGGTCAGAAGAAGTTTTACCTTGGGTAACTCCTGACAAGACTGTTCTTATTAACTGACCCAATAAAGCTTTCACATCCTAAGCAAGGCCAACCCTATTCGGGGTGGACATAGAGCTGGGTGAATACAATTCTGTGAATACACTAAAGGCACAGAATGGTACCCTCTAAAAGAGTGAATTTAATGGTATGTGAATTTTATCTCAATAAAAACCAAACCCCTGTGATTATACACTGCAGTGATGGGTAAAACCAGACTCATGGCCTCCTACTGGGTCTCCTACTCCCAGCCAGCCTACCCAGGCCTGCAGGTGCTCCCGAACACACATGTCACAGCACTGAGGTGTCCCATGCACACGGACCTGGCCGACTGCCACAGCCACCTGCTGAGTGTATGCCCCTTACCAGCCCAGCCCTGGAGGTGCCGTCAGCAGGTCCACCGCCACTGGGAGGTACCACTCTGCCCCTTCAGCCTACTGCCATACATATACCCAACCTGAGGAGATGGGACATTTCCCTACCCGCTGGGCTGAGCCATCTCGCTTCTTCATGAATCACAACCACCCTGTGAGCTAGGAGTTATTATTCTCACTTTGTAGCTGCAGAAGGAAAAACAGTGCAGTCTTGTGATCTGCCCATGTCATGGGGTATGATGGTGGAGCCAACACCCAACTTGGGTCTTGAAGGCTCTCTGTCCACCTAACGAGGGTATTGCGTTCCTATGGCAGTAGCGCAGTCTGTAATATTGCTGAGAAGGGAGCACTGGCCATCTGGTGACCCCAGCGATTCACTCTCCTGCCCTCAGTGTGTGGATGAGGCAGGATGGGGCAGCACAAGGCCGCATACCACAAGCTTCAGCACATACCTGCCCCCATAACCTGGGGCCTGGGAGATGCTGGCAGTCAGCTAGTTTCCACACTTTTTACTCGATGTCATATAGCCTGGGGGTCAAGAGCCAGGCTCTGGAGCCAAGCTGCCTGGGATGGAACCCAGGCACATCCCAGTTAGCGTGTGCCCATGGTCACATGCTTACCTACCTGGGCCTTGTCTTCTCGCCCACTGTGGTTTCTGGGAGGACTGAATGAGCAGGCCCATGGAAAGCATTGAGCACAGGGCCTGGCAGAGACCACTTTCTCAGAAGGAACTACCACCTACCTGCACAGCCCTCGTGCCAGGTGCATGAAGGCCCACCCCGAGCAGCCCCTCCTGACACAGGCCTGGTCGCCCTGCAGGTCAGCAGCTGCAACTAAACCCACATAGGGGGACCAACAAAAGGGACTGGCTCAAGGTGACACAAGGTAGGAGCTTGTCTCTGCCCCTCCAAGAGCCGCATCCCATCTCAATGCCTACTCTAAACCCCAGGATCTCTATTTGTTTCCAGTGGGTAGAGCTGCTGTTCCCCAAAATGCCCACTGCTGGTTATGCTTTAGGAATGTCACGGTGGCCAGAGACCATGTGCTCAGCAGGCATTGGCATCACTCCCATGCCCCTGAGTCCCCACCTAGGACTCACTTGTGCTGGTCCTGCCAAGCAAAACTCCGCTCCGGCTGGTCCCATTCCTGGGCCAGGACAAAGCGTAGCTCCTGGTCAGTGAAGGTGGCGAGAGAGCCATTGACGCGCTGGCAGGTCTGTGCGGCATCCCAGTAGTTCTCCCCGCTCAGGTAGACCCTGTAGCAGCTGGCCGTACCTTCATAGTGGTGCCACCCTGTCGGGCACTTCCCTAGGAAACATGAAGGACGGAAGGGGAGATGTCCCCCCAAATTAGAATCCTCACTCCAAAATGAAATTACATATGTTACTTAGAAATCACCCTAGAGAAACGGAAAAACTGAGGCTGAAGAGGAAAAGCTCTGCCTCTAAGACCATGTACTTTGTGAAATGTTCGAGTGCCTCTAAGACACAGATGCAATGTAAGGTAAAAGTATATTCAGTGATTCCTCCCATTTCTACAAGGTCTTTAATTTACTTGGCAGTAAAGACTAGTTGCTGACTTCATTTGGTAAAGTGGATTTCATTCTCTGATTAAGTCTGCTTGACAAGATGGCAGAACTCCCACACCGGCTCACTGCAAGGCCTGGCAGTAGTGAGCAGGGGGACTGCCCTCGCTGCCCAAATACCGGCTCTCTCCGGCCACTCTGCCAACAAGCTCACCACTCCGAGCCTACTCCTTGGCCCTCCTGTTCACATGGGTGCTGGCCAGCATCCTCTAAAACAGAAGCTCAGGAGATCAGAGCTGGAAGGGCCAGTGAAATTGCAGGATTAAACCCTTGGCCCCCATACTGTAATGGCTGGCCTTGGGTAAGGGTAATGGCCTATACTACAGAACTGTATAACCTTCAAATGCTGGGGTACTTACCTCCTAACTAAGATACACTGATGAAGAGTAACAATTTTTTAAAAACCTTGTTAACAAAATGCAATTTTTAAACTTCATATATAGCCTCTGGAACTAGCAAACTTCTTACGGACTGTTGTTCCTTTTTCTATTATTTAGAGCACATATGTATATAACTTATGAACAAAGGGACAGAGACAACAGGACAGGAAAGGCAGGTCTGGTCCCCGAGCCAGTGAGGCATGCCACAGCACTGCTGCAACACAGACAGCGGGACAGGGTCACGTGCCCACGGGGACGGCCTGCTTACATATGACGAAACTTACAGGAAGGCCTTCACTGTAGACAGGAGCCAGCCCTCAGGGACTACCCAGCAGGGGAAGGGGAGGTGCTCGGAGTGTGTGGCATAGGTGTGAAGGGGGGGATCACCAGGCAGCCTTTACGGTGTTTCCTAAGCCCCTGTCCCACGAGGTGTTCAACCTGCCACACCCCTCATAGATGGATTCTGTCCTGTCTCCCAGGTTAGAGGTGGGGATGCTGGGGTGTGCAGAGGCGGGGCATCTCAGCTGGCGAGTGGCACTGTGGGCTTCCTTCCTGGCTGCTCACTCACATCATAGGTCCAGAAGAAGCCCACTGGGGATGGAAGCCAGTGAGTGGGGGCAATGAAGGTAGGGAACATTAGTATCTATTGGCTCTTTTCTTTATTTTTTGCACTTTGTGGAACTATTCCCTAGGGAGAAGTATGGGACTAAGAGTTGTGATTCCATGGGGCTGAGTCCTGGGGCCACCCCTGTTGACCGAGTGACCTCTCAGAGCCTCGGTTTCCTCACTCGCCAAGCCTGCACTACGCTCCTGCGAGAACCCCTGCAGTTCATAGCTGTATGTGTCCAAGCTGAGCACAGTGTTGGGGCTCAGAGGTAGGCTGACTACCCTGGCTTGTGCAGTCCACATCAGAGAACTTAGGCTCCCCGCGAAACTGAAGCTACGAGGAGCACTGGTGGCCCTGCAGGGGGTGAGGGGACCTCTGAGGTACTCCCCAGCATTGAGTGTCTGTGGGGTGAGGGTGAACATGGCCATCCAGCACCAAGAATCACGTATCAGTTCCTCGTGTCGCAGAGTCGCTACTCATCATACTAGGCATGTCCTTGTGCCTAACCACATCTGTTTGGTGTGGGTTTTCTGCCTTTCAACTTTCTTTAATCGTGTTATGCTCTTAATGTCATAGGGAATTCATTAAAATAGTCACTTAAGTTTTTTTTACAAGAGGTAGAGCCTTCCCACGCCATCAGCTATACCTAGGCTCTTGAAGCCGGTTTCCATCTATGGAAGGGCTGCTGTAGCACAGCCCTGAAAGGCAGCTGTCTTGTGAAAATAAGCAGACTAGCTGCAGAGCCCAGGCTCGAGTCAAGGCTTCATCACTCAGGGCTTGGGTGGCTTTGGGCGGGTCATGGCGTAGCCTCATCGACCAAAGAAGGATGACGCTACTGGCTGCCCTAAGGGTCGTTTTAAAAGACACACCCCCACACACAGCCGAGTGGCAGCAGGATAGCCAGAGATGGCGTGGGACCTCAAGCTTAGGTCATGAAACAGGGCAGGTCTGCAACTTACTGCTGAAGCGGACGGGCTGCGCCACATTCACCGCATTCGCCACGTGGAAGTGTGTGGGGTCCCCGCCTCGGACCCGCCCCTGCCGCGGATCCACAGCCTCCTTCCCATGGTAAGGACGCGACTCCCTGGTCACTTCTGGAAGCAAAAAGAGAAGTGAGCTGTAAGTACCACTCGTGCAGCAGCACAGACTACTCGGGGCTGGGAGGACAAAGTGGAATACAGCCTATATTCCATTTATTCAGGTTTTCTTTAGAACTGTATAAGGTGCTGCTGTTTGTATCAAATGTGTCACATGCACCTATTATTAAAATTATGCTTTAGAAGTCGTCATATTTTTACTACTACCGTGAAATGAGGTCTCCCCTTCATTGCATTTCCTAACAGGCTACTTGCTGGCACTGCACAGGGTCAGCGGTTCCTGCTGAAAAATCCCTCAGCAGGCTCTAGCTCCATGGGGGTTCTCCCCAGAGCCCAGGCTGCCCTCCCGCTCCAGACTGCCTGGGAGCCTCTCCTGTTAGCATGAAGGGGACATCCAATGTGCGCAACCCACTCTGTACTACTTTGCACTGGGCCCGAGTCACCATCTGTCCACCTGCCTGCTGGTCCCTCTCACAGCCTCAAGGCCAGGGACTCGGTGCATTTCTACCTGGCTCCCTGGTCCCTGGCACAGGCCCTGGTGTGCTACAGATCTCGATGCATGGTTGGAGGTGTGAACAGAAAGCTGAAGCTGAGGAAGAATGCTAGTTTTATGTATCATGGTCTAATAGTAACTTCCATGTTGCTCCTTCCACAGTCTCTTTTTTGGCTTCAACCCCATCAGAGAACCACTCTCCTCCCTCTCAGAAAAGAGAGGAGATTTACCCAAAGGCAAAGAGCAGGAGAAAACCGAGGCAATGTCCCACCAGGGCCACACTCCTCCCCACTCAGCCTGAATAAGGGGCACTTTGGTGTACAGCGAAGGACACCTGGGGCAAGGTCAGGACAGTGACAGGCTTGGTTTGCACAGCTGCACAGACAGAACCACAGACACCTGAGTCCTTGGTGTGCCTGCCTGAGGCAAAGGACACCGGAAGTAGGCGTGGCGTGGCGTGGCGTGGTGTGGCTTGGCTAGGGGGCGTGGCATGGCATGAGGGTTGGGGGGATGTGGTGGATCAAGGGCAAGGGGTTGCCAGGTGGGGCAGCCTCCCACAAACTCACCTTCCCTGACTCTGTGACTGGTAATTAGTCTCACTGACTGAAGCTTCTCCAGCTGTCTGGTCCTGCTAGTACCACACACTCTGATATTGTTTTCATTTCATAAATAAATTATTTTTTCTCATTAAGAAATAACAAATATGTAATGCGAAATATTTGAGAAATAAAAAAGCTTGAAAGATAAAACATATTAACCATTACTAACCATTTTTTCTACATTAAATCCTTAAAAATATTGGGATCACATCAAACCTCTAGGCTTAAGATCACTTTTAATGGCTGCATACTATTCTGTGAATGGGTTTCTTTAATTACCACAATCTCCTATGGTTCAAAGTTCAGGTCGTTTGCATTCTTCCATTACTCTACGAAGGGTTGCACTGAATGACTTGTACAGAAATCTCTGTGTGTCGTTTCATTATTTTCACGAGCACCAGCAGCTTTGGTTCCCTCCCCCACTAAGTGTTCAGGAGAGTACTTCCAGCTCCTTCTCAGGCATGTGATGGGGATCACGTGCCATCAGACTGCACATCATTCTAAAATATAAAATGTGCTGCCAGTATCTGAGATAAGCTCAACATAGAGCAAAGACCTCAAAGGAGAATCACTGTCAAGGCTTCTGGGGCAACCTCACCACCAACACAACCACCTCATCCACTGCTGCCCCTGTGGAAGATGGACTGCGGCTACAGTTGCTCTCTTCCAACACCCAGCCCTGGGGGCCGGCGACACCCACTCTCTAGAACTGGGGTGCCCCATGTACATGTCTTGAGCACCACTGCTCCTGGGAGAAGACTGGTGGCTCTGGTACAGGGACAGCACTACAAAGCCCCCCTCCTCCTTTCCCCAGGTGAGCAGAGGGTCAGAGGTCCACCCTGGCCCTCTGAGGGAGGATGGACTTAGGATGGGGAGATGAGGGAGGAGAACAGAAGGGCTTCCCGGGAGAGGGCACAGCTTGGGCAAAGGTAGGCATGTCTGGGACAGGCTTGAGGACAAGCTTGGGTGTGGTGGAAGCTACACCTAAATGTCGTATCTCCCTCTGTCTGCTCAAACAAGAAAGACCTGTGATTCCACTTTGCTTCTTGGCCTCTTCCCAATACCAAGCACAGCACCTGGTATATGACAGGTCACAATGCTCACAGAAAGACTGATGGACCTAAGACAGAGGGGAAAAGAGAAAGAAAACGTAACAGAGCATTCTGTTGGGTTACATAGGCACTGAGCCCCAGGTAGCCTGGATGCTGACTTTGCTGGAGTGAGGCCATCTGCAGCCTGGGAGGTAGGGTGGGGGGTGGGGCTACAGGTGAAACAGTTAAGAAAAAAAAGCTCAGGGGTAATGGAGGAAGAAGCTACTTTGTGCTGAGCAGGCTTCTCTGTGGTTCAGGGAGCAATTCTGAACCCTTTTCTTGCCCATCATTTCTCTTCCTATCCAAATGTCCACATCCATTTCCTCATCACTCATTCATTCAGTGCCTATTACATGCCGTCACAGAAGCCCACTAGCACAGACACAGGCCTTGCCAGCAAGAAGGGGAAGGGTTTGGCTGAGGGGGTGGTGCTGATGACATATGAAGGATTTCCAAAAGTGCTGGAGGAGCAGGAGATGGGGGGCGGCTGGGGAGGAGGCAGAGCACAGGATTAGCACCCTCTGGCAATAAAGAATTTCCTTCTGAGACCCAGATAGCGTTCCCTCTTAGGGTCAAGCTGGAGGGTGTGCAGCTCTCACAACCGAACCGTTCATGTGTAGCTGTGCAGACACCTCAGAGCAACTTTTCCTTTCCCTCTGTCCCCTCTCCACCTCAGTGTGCCAGGCACTGTCACAAGCATGGGGAATACAGCAGTGGGCCGTGAACAAAACAGAGGATGATCCTGTCCTCCCTTAGTGAGAGGTCACGCCCTCCTCCATCTAGCAACTGGCTGTGATTGGGACGGGGCCAAGTCCAAGTGCATCACCCAAACCTAAGCCCAACCCTGAAGTCTCACAGGCTGCAGTTTGTACTCGTCTTGCTTCTGATGTCCTCACCAGGACTTCAGAGCAGTTCTGGCCACCCAAGACTGAATGGGAGCCCACAGAAGATGTGAAGTGAGGGGAAACCAACATGGTTGACTTGTTACTAAAAAAAATAAATGAGGAAAAGGGAGATGTTTTACAGATGTTGGAAAGCAGGCTCAGAAATGTTATGAGACTTGCTTCAGAGCAGAAGCGTAACAGGGCAAGTGGGCTCTCCACCTCCTCCAAGTCCACAGGACCCGAGCCACCCCCACCTCACAGCCTGGTCTCCTCCAGACCCCATGGGCAGTCATGTCCTCTCCTGGCCTCCAGCTCCACTGGGGGTACCAGGCATGCTGGGTTTTCCGCTTCCCCAGCAAAGGCCTCAAGGGAGAGCTGGGGGTGCTGCTGAAAAGCATTGAGTCCAACAGGGAAACTGAGTCTGGGCAGGCAGTGGCATACTTGCTTCCCAACAGCATTTGGCCAGAAATGACGATTATTTGTAAATAAAAGATAAGATGTGAGTGGTTCTAATTTGTGTTTCTAGAAATTTAAAATTTGTCCAAATATGGCATTGGGGTCCGGATGAGCTTGTAACTTCTCCCAATGAAGAAGAGGGTAAGAGGTCCCCTGATTCCCCAGCGCTGTTCCCCTCCCCCAATTCCCCAATAAAATCTTTTTTTTTTTAAAAAAAGAAGAGGGTAAGAGGAATATAGCCTCTTTAGCACCTCCAAGTTGTCAGGACACACATCACTTTTTACTTCATACTAAAACAGGTTTAAAATCATGGTAAAAAATCAGGTGTAAATTAACACCTGCTTACCAAAACAGGATTTCTAACATCAGAGAGCCTAAAAATATAAACCTCCTGATGGTTTTTCCATTATGTCATATATGTTCTTTAAATTGATTCTTTTCCCTCCTGGTTAGGGCCAGGCTGTCCTCGCTAAGGAGAATCTCACTGAGTCTAAAGGTTTGCTAGCCCAGTGACCATCTCCTCTGACTCCATTCTATCAAGGTTTTGAGACCCATGTTTCTGAAATACCAATGTGACCACTTGTGTTTTCCCATTTTATACCCAGGTGGACAATATACAATGAAACACAGAATAACTGCAAAAAGACAGACCAGTAAGCTCCAAGTTCAAAACCTGCCTCCTTCCAGTTACTCTTGGGTCCACAAACATCTAAAGTACAAGTTCACAGAGGGAATGTCTTACTTTCTGCTACTGTCTAAGACAGTAGGAAGCTACCAGATAGTCCTATGACACGCAAGCTTTGGCCTTTCTTGGGTCTCATCTACCCACAGAGATCTGGCAGAAGCAGACTGGCCTGAGTAAGACTCCTCACCCCAGGTCTTAATTCTTACATATGTACATCACAAGGTGAAATACAATAGAAAACCCTGCCTCCCCTCCTCCCGNGTTCACAGAGGGAATGTCTTACTTTCTGCTACTGTCTAAGACAGTAGGAAGCTACCAGATAGTCCTATGACACGCAAGCTTTGGCCTTTCTTGGGTCTCATCTACCCACAGAGATCTGGCAGAAGCAGACTGGCCTGAGTAAGACTCCTCACCCCAGGTCTTAATTCTTACATATGTACATCACAAGGTGAAATACAATAGAAAACCCTGCCTCCCCTCCTCCCGATCCCCTGTTCCTAATCAATTTCCCAGACACCTGTTTTACTTATTTCTTCTGATATTTACATCCATATTTCTAAATAGGTTTACATGGCTATTTCTGGTTTTATCCATTTTAAATGTTACCCCATGACTTATGTTAGGGTGGGTGAAGGTTTAGCTCACATACACTCTTATCCTCCCAACAGAGTAGACTCAATTTCATAATTAAAGTCAGTAGAATAATGTAAATATTCTTCACTTGTGAGCCAAATAGCATACTAAGGTTATTTCAATTCTCATACAACTTTCTTTTCTTCCTGGAGTTAA